GGATCCGCTGCCAGGTGATGCCACGTGGGTACGAAAGAGAGGCAAAAAAATGGAGAAATTAAAGATATATTAAAGACAAATTTCATTGCACAGAAACCTATTGCATTGAGATATAGTGCATTCCCCCACCCAAAACGGCTTTCTGAGTGACCTGATTCCTGCAGGGCCTGATGCAGATGAACACTGAGCTGAGAGATACGAATGTGTCTGTGTGTGCTCCATTCTGCAATGGCTGTGATGTTGCAAAGCCATCTCTTATCTCAGGGCGGGTTGTTTTCCTGCAGTCAGGCTCTAGAACCCCAGGCATGCTGGATGGTGAATTCTGGGACTCACGTGTGGGGCCTCTTGTGGGCTGTGCGGTGGGGACACCACCGAACTGCAGCTCAGCTATGATCTGGGAGTCGAGGGAAGCCCCCCCACCTTGTAGATTCACAAGCCTGGGGTTGAGCTTAACTGTGGAGGCAGAGTAGTGGTAGCCAGGCCCTGCTGGGCATATCTCCTTAAAATCCGCTGCGGAGGAAAAATATTTCACGGTTCAGTCACACTCAGACATGAAGGATCACTGGGATTTCTATTCAAACTTCTCATTCAGATTGCCAGTAAGGGACGTCAAGGAACAAAACAGCAGTAACACTGTGCAAAAATTCGGAACTTTCTCAGTAATCTAGAAATACCTGATGGCAAAGTGGTCGGACGAAAGTGCTGAAGAGTCTTTGATAAAATCTCAAGTTTAGTATTATCCTCATCTGAAGGCAGAAGCATGTAATGAATACGGGGACTGAGGTTTAACATTTCCTGATGATGTCAGATAAGGATCCTAAAGACCCCCAGTTAAAGTAATTTTAACAGTACTCATCTCACCTGAGCCGAAGGGTGGACACCTCTCACAGCTCCTGCCCCAGCCCTTGCCCACCCGACTGCAGCAGCAGATCTGCTTGGTGATGTTCCTCAGGATGGGCAGGGAGCAGATGCCCGACGTCAAGAGACGGTAGCACTGGCCCTTGTCCTCGGAGATCACTTTCTGGGCTATGGGAGCACACGGGTTATTCCTTCTGATGTTTCTGAAGCCATGCTTGCAGCTCGTTTCCCCTTTCTTCTCTTTCAGCCATAACACCTCGCTCTTCGCCTGCTGCACTGCTCGTTCTGTAGCTTGCGCTGGGTGGTGTTAAGTCGTAGCTGCCTCGTTCAACTACTGAGCTCACTCAGCTAAACCTCAACACCTTCTTTTGAAGAGCTTTCTCTGATACACTATTTCATTCTCATGAAGCTCGATACTAACCTTGCTCTGTGCTATAGCAGAATGGGCAGAATGTTATCTTTTGACCTGCAAAGCTTTCTCTCATCCTCACAAGGGACACATACTGTAATTACCAGGTGGACACAGTTGTCAAGCCCCAGTGTCATACCCCACCCAGTCAGGCTGGTCAACATGTTTTTAATTAAGTGTGCAAACTGCCTGCGCTGAATTGGACAGGCGGGTGGTGGACTCAATTACCACACAAGTACTGTACCTAAGCTTCTCGCTCATAAAACTGGAAGCAAACAGCTTTGTGGGGCTATAAAAAAGGAGCTTGAATTCATATCATCTGCCAGTGTTTGCTCTGTTAATTGAGTGCCTGCCTATCACCCACTTACTTATGTAGGTGAAGTTAAGACTGCTTAACTACAGGGAGTCTGAGCAGGGGTGGACAATGCAGACTAACTAGCAACATTACTGCACATTACTGCAGTCTGGCATGAGAGACTTACACGTCCAGTCAAGTACAGGAATGGTAATTACCTTTCACCTGCTAATTACTGTTTCAATCAGACTGACTGGGCCCCCCACACGCCTTATCTAATGGATAATTAAACGATCCCCCCACACCCCGAAAACACACTCTTCTTGCAGAGCAAAGAACTTGTACTGGTTAAATCACCTCGGAAATTCTCTTTTTTAAAGTAAATAAGATCTAATTTGATCAACAGCACACTATTTTTAAATGCTTAAAAGTTGGACAACTGTTTTGATCATCTTTACTCTTTTTGCTTCAATTCTTTGCTAATGCTAAACCCTATCCAAGGAAGGGGGTTCTTCTTAAATGGGGGGTTTCCCATAGGTTTTCAATGTTGCCTTTAGCTATAAACAGCTCTTCAGGGTGGAGAAAGCCTTGATTTGATCCAGTTCGGGTTTAACCATTCTTAATAGCTCTTCAACATATAAAAAAAACAAAACAAAACAAAACAAAACAAAACAAAACAGACATGCTGGATGCTGGACGACGGAGATGAAAAGCCCCGCTGTAAAGCTGTGCTTAGCTCAGAACTGGACCTGCATTATTGCAGTGTGCTCCGTTTGATTGCTGAATGCCGAGTATCTTATGTCCGTGCAAGAGAGACATGGGAAAGAGCATAAAGAAATAGTATGGCAATGCATTACAACACAGAATTGAGATGAAAACCCATGGCAAAATGAATGTTGCTTCGCCGAAGGAAGAGAATTAAGTGGAGATTTAAAAACGGCCCTCAGCACCCTGTGTGTGGTTTAAAAGCTGACCACTTTGTTTCCAGGCGCCCTGAGAAGGAAGGGTACAGTGCAGTCTGAGACAAGACGCTGACAATCCGGAGGAATGGGGACGTGTCTCTCTATCAGAGAGAAAGCGAGCTTCAGCAGCAAAGCAGAAAGCTTCAGGAAAAACACACAGAGCTTCACAGGCGTTAAAGTATCAGCAGCGATTCCAAAGCACGGCCTCGGTTTCCGAAAGCACAGAGTAGAATAAGCAACGAGAAAAGCATCACAGAACTTTAGTTTTGCAGAATCTGCACCCATTTCCTTGTCCTCTTGTGCTGACTGGCAGATACAGACATTACAAGGCTGAGACACAATCAGCTCTGAGGCTCAAAAGGCAGAGGGACTGTGTTCAGCTGAAGGCTAGTACCCCCTGGTCTTTTCTAAGGGGTCACTGCTACCAAGTCAGCATCCGACAGCAAGGTTCGGATACACGTTCTCCCGTAGAACAGAAAAAAAAACAGAATGAAGAAAACAATTTTGGCAAAGTTCTGTTTCACTTTCTCACACCTTACTCCAGGCGCAAGCGTTCTCAGAGGAGCATCAGAGCGCATGCGGCCTTTTGGCTTAATTGCCCCTTTACTTACAGATACAGATTCCGTGAGAGGCATCCAATATATAGCCCTGCTTGCAGACACAGCTGTAGCTCCCTCTAGTGTTCACACAGTCTCCGTTCACACAGAACCCAGGCTGCGAACACTCATTAATATCTACACAGGGGGGAAAACAGCTCTGTCACGTCCTAGCCAGTCAGCATAGGCCTGAAGTCTTCCACACAATCCAGGATTCCCAGCTAGACTAGACATCCACGATGGCGTCAAAGGAATAAGAGCACAAATGGACATTTGACTGAAGCAGGGAGGAGCGGTTGAGCTTCAGCCCGCATTTTGACGTAGTTCAGGCATGCGGCTCGTCTTCAGGTCTCGCGGCTGAGCCACGCTCATCCCTCATGGGCCGAAATTGTGGGCACCCTCCAATCCCAGGAATAAACGCCTTTCACTGCGGCATGAAACGTGTTCAGACTTGAGGAACAGGGGAGGGTCTTCCATCAACTGAACTGGCCAGAACAATCCCCACGTCTCACCCGTGGAAAACCCGTCAACCCAGCAGAGGTGCTGTTCAGTCCCACACACCCCTAGCCCTCCTCCCAAACTCAACAGACAGCCCTCCTGCAAGAAGAGGGGGGCTGGACTGGACTGGTCAGTAGGTGCTCTTTTCAAGTTTTCATAGAGGTCCAACAATTTTTGGGGAAATGTGTGTGTGGGGACAGGCAGTTCCTAATATTTCACCAGTGAGTGTATTTGATTTTTAGTAAATAAGAACTGATATAGGGCCTTTTTATTTAAAACGGCACTGTATGTAGTCTAGGCTGTTTATATATTATGCTTAGTAGATACAAAAAAGTTATTATTAAATAGCTTACTGAAAACCATTAATACTTTACGATTTCATCACAGGCCACATACAATTCTTCCCAATTATAAAGCTGGGTAAAATCATAACTAATTTTATTGAGGCATCCTGCTCAAAGATTCAGCTGTAGTTCCCCTCCCAGGAATCAAACCCGCAACATTCCGGTTAATGAGCCGCACTCCTCCCTTTACAGCATAGCAGACAGCACAAAAGACTGGATCTTGCAAAACGTTTTCATAAAGGAAAGAAGAAGATGAGAAATCAGATGTGTAAAGATGTGTAATCCTTTCCCAATCGCGACGGATTGGAAGTTCAATTTCCAAGCAAAGGAACCAGTGAAAATGATGAATGTGGCGAGAGGCAGGTGTTGACGTCTGGGGCTGTAAAATGAGCTGCAGAGCCCGCTCTGCCTTCAGGCTCATCTTCCCCAGGCTGCGGACAGACAGGGCTGCGTAAACGATCGGTGAGATCCTGCATCTGTTGAGTAACAGGGCACAGTTCGAAATCTGCACGGGACATGACACGGCCTTGTAAAATATCTAGCTGAGGTGCAAAACACTGCTCCTGCCTTTCCACTTATTTCAGGTTCCTGGGCTATTTCACAGTTTTCACTTTCTTCAGTACACAAAGTCCTCAAACATGTATATGCTATTTTCCTTATATTCTTATACGTACAGATTGTAATTGACTGCAGTCTACGAGATTCTAAAATAAACCAAAACAAAGTCAGGCAATCACATTCTTTCGCTTTTTATAACTTCATTTCACTCCTAGCACTCTCAGGCTAAGTAGACATGATCTGTCAAAGTTATAGTGAAATGCATTTTGCCCGCAGAATAAAAAAGATTCTCTTACGCCCCCCCAGTTACGTTCGGGGGTAATTTTACTGTATGTGTAGGAGAGCCCCACACAGTGATGTACATACACTCACTGCTTGACTCCCAGTAAGCAGAACTGATAGCTCTCCTTCTGATGGGAAAAGGGTTGTCCCCTTGTCCTGACACTCGCTTCACGTGTTCTGAGCTTCCCAGTTCGCTGGCCTCCCCTCAGAGTGCTGACGGCTCTGACCATAAACACGGCCTGCAGAGCAGCTGCACGCAGGCTGGGAGTTCACAAAAGCTGTGCTCTTGGGTTGCCTTCTTATTGACATTGTGTCTGTTCCAAGTGCCACTTCCTCCTGGGAAAAAGCCTTGGGAATACTGTAAGTGCAGGGATTTTCTGAGCAATCCCGGGAAATGTAGAAACAGATGGTTTCTGTGAGCCATTCTTATCAAAACCTACATCGTTTCTGGAATGCATCTGTCCAGAACTATTTCGGGTTTTATAGCTATTCTCCCTCCCATAAAAGCAATTAAAAATGGTATCTTGCCACATATCTTAGTTTTTCATGAATCTTGCTTCATCTCACTTTATTTGTGTAAATTCAGTTCTGCATGACTCAGAAGAACAGAGAAGGGTCTCTCTTCAACTGTCTCAGGAATCTGTATCTGTTTTGTTTGACATAAGAACATGAGAACCGACTGGTTCATTTGATCCAAAAATCTCATCCAGCCATGTTTGATGGGTCAATATCCTTTCGACAACACACCCTCCACAACTCTCTGTGTACAGTTATGCCTCTTAATACAGCACCTTTATGGCCTTAGCTCCCTGTCGCTTTAGATTACTCTAAAACTAAGGGAGGCGAGATTTGGGCCTCTCACGGTGCAACACACAATTTAGAAGAACATTTTTAGGTACAGGCGAGTCTAGAGATTATGTTACGGAAGACATTTTAGAGAAGTCACACACAGTAAAAGAAATCCCGTCTGGTTACTCTTATCTGGTGGATCTGAGACAAGGAGAAATGGGTTTGTGTGGTTAATCTCAGTGAAATCCAATGCTGTTTCCAGATTCTACTGTTATCCTTTACGTTCATAGGAGGCTGGTGAATAACTGTGGCATTAACAGCGTTTCCGCACTGACAGCAGACGTCTCTGGATTCCTTCGACCGGTCTTTGCCTTGGATTGGGATATTGGAAGGCATTTCATTCTTGGCTCAGGAAATTGAGATGGGCCTGGAATAGTTTCTTGATGAGGCAGTCCACTTTTTTAAAGGCATTCTGGCTTAAGTCAAGCAGAGGCAATGCATCCACAGAACAGAATTTGACACCTTCACACCTCAAAGTCCCCAAGGACAGTGTACTAAATAAAAAGGGAAAAGGAAATAGTTCAAACATGTACGAACACCAGTCACCGCATCAACCAGCTATGACTGAAGTTTCTCTTGGGATCATCATCCTATCAGGTATTAATGCTGTGATAATGCTTCCCCTAGTTTAGGAAAGTTTGGTGTAATTTAAAAGCCTTCTTTTTGAGCTTTATGGTTTTATTTTTCCAGACACATTATAGGTTTCAGTGCAATCACGCTGTACCACTCTGAGGATGTCTCCTAGCTTAACATACTGTAAATGTATTAAGGTTTAATGAAAACATGAAGGCGTCATCTCATAAAACTAATCATGGTTATTAAACGCTCCTGGGAGCTCCAGTATATCCACAGCAACTGCTGCACTAGGTCCATATCAGTTCCTACCATTCCAATGTCCTGTCTTACTGTATCAACCACTACAATAAACAAAATGTACTCTTACTGTTTGCAATTAACCCATATTTCCGTACCAATATCAACAGATTAAAGCAGAACCTCCTGTTCTGTGACCAAATGTGTTTCTTAGTGATGTTCAGCTTAGATCCTTACTTGTTGTGTCACCTGTGAACATCAAGGCCACACTGTTCTCCAGTGACTTAATGTACAGTAATTGTGATGTCCATTGTTCCTCATCTTCCAAACCATCCTCACTCTCGAAGAGCAAACTTTAAACATCTGTCACGCCTGCCAGTCTGAGTGCACAGCGTCCTGCCTCAGTAGCTGTGAGCCTCTGTCTAGTGTGTCTTTTCCATAGCATTGCGCTGCTGATCGTATCCTGACTCTATATGCTCGACAAGAAACAATGTTGCACACAACGCTTTGAAAAGGAGCCCATCGCTGAGTCCCATCTGCCACAGGCTTCCTGGCTTCCAGCTGTGGCAAAAAATTAAGTTACCGCAGGTGTGAAAGAAGTATGAAAAATAGCGAGTGCAGGCAACCTCATGAGCTGTAATCCAGAGATCACTTAAGTGCCTCAAGTGAGAGACAGTGACAAAGAAAAACCAGGGACTTACCAACACACTGGGTCCCGTTCCTCCTTTCAAATCCCTGCGGACAACTTCGGTCTCCGCTGCCACCAGAACCTAAGGGCAGACGACATGCAGGTTTTGACCAAATCTGCACCAAATGTGAGCTGGTGTGGGAGAGGACCGTGCACAATCACACCAGCATTCACACCCGCGCCCAGTGATCTCCAGACAAGGGAACTAACTGCAGTGATTAATGTGTGGAAAAAGGAATGGCTGAGGAAAAAGTTCTTCTTTTATTAGACTGGGATGAAAATACAATTACATTTCATTTTCAAAAATGCCACAGCAAAGCAGGAAACGGGAACATAAGAAGAAGCAACCCAAAGCGGTATTAACGAAAACCTGAAGACTCACCTGAGAGATCAGCTTGCTGATGTCCTGTTTCTTTCACTCTGGATTGCGACATTTTTGAGTGTTTTAAAGGATTAGTTTAAGTGCAATGCATAAAAAAGCACCCCTGCAGTGGCCAGACGTACTAGCCCAGGAGCAGCGATGGAGATTCATAGCTCAGCCACTTCAAGGCAAAGGATCAGAGGTCAGCTGTTGCTTTCCCAGGGAAACCCAAACACATGAAAGAGAGTGTTCAGACAAAAAAAAAGACTAAGGCAGTTCAATTACCTTAATAATAGGGGTAAGAAAACTGCCCATGCACCTGTGTGAGGCCAGTCGAGGTGTCTGTTGCCACTTAAATGACTTCAGAGAAAGCAGGAGGCCATTGCAGGACCTTGCCAAAACAACCTGATTCCCCAGAAGTCCTGGTCCACAACATGGATGAGGAGAACAGGCCTGTGAGCAGGCCTAGTGAAGGTGGAAAAGGCCTCTGTGTCATGGTCCCTCTTTATGTGGTCTGTGTGAATCACGACAAGGCCTGTGTCAGAAGGTCAGAGGTCATCCAGGCTGTTTTGTTGTTTTCTCCTCGTGATTCCAGATCTCGTGAAGGGCGATGTGAAGAGCGAGGAAGCTCTCGAAGATGGGCTTTCATTTACAGAGTTAACAGATCAACCCTCCTCTCCGTTCTCGTGAAACACCATGCTGATTATGCTGGTGATTTACTATTTAAGTTCACCTACTGCAATGCATCACAAGTGGACGCAGCCACATGGAAGACGGGGTATCAAGCCATGCAGAGGGAGTGTGCCCAGAAAGCATGAGATTGTGCTTCCAGAGCCCAGCACCATCTCCCTGTCTAGAAGGAACCATACTCATGAACGACACCTAAATCCGGCACCAACATTTTCCTCGGAGGTCAACTGGTTTTGAAACCGGCCTGCTTACTTGTTAGCGCTGCCTTTCCAGAGCCCCCATTCAGAAGGCTTCTGTCGCAACTGTGCAGGCAACACCGATGATCAGCAACATAGACCCTCACAAGCCACTCCCCGTGAAAAGCATATTGCAGCGTTTTAAATAACCCTTTCAATTTGGAACGAGAAAAACAGCAACACTGTCTGTGACTCATAAAAAAGCCAACCATCCAGACTTCTTATTTTTTTTACACAGCGATGTTGTTCAGCGGCGGCTTCGCTAATTGAACTGCAGGGGATCTCAGGCTCAGTGGCCTTTCTTCTCCAGTGCCTTTGAAATGGTCTTGTACCGGTTGCAGGTGACACTTTATGACCCGAGATCGGCTTCTTTGTAGAGGCAGAGCTCCAGCGCCGGGCATCAGACGCAGCCCGGCACAGCAGCTGGGGAAAAACTACAAAGAGACACTGGCACCGGCTCATAAAAGAGAAGCAGTAATTAAGTGAGTTGAGGCCTATAATGTAAAAGTGTATACAGTAAATCACCAAAGCCGGCCTCACTAACCATTAAAGTTGCCATCAGGCCCGGATGAAGAGCTTTTCACTTTACATTCTGCCCTTGACTGACTGCCAGCGCAGGGCCCAGTGGCAGACTGGACGGAGACCCACTCGGATATGAAGCTCAGGCAGAAGAGGAAATTATCCTGCAGCCGGGATTTCAAAGGTTTGTGTAAGCTGGGCTGAGCGGCTTGTTAATTAACTTTAGCACTTTTTCACTTTGCTTTCAATTGCTTAAAACCATTTTGCACATAGACTCCCCAGAACTTTGCCTTTTCCGCAAAAGACAAGAACATATGAGTCAAAGCAGTAGTCGTGATTTGCCGAGCCCAACAGATGTTGCCCTTACTATCTCTCTAAGGGGAGGTTAGAACTGTGTTCTGGTATGTTGTGTGACATGAGTAAAGCACACCAAGTGGTCAAGAAGAGACTTCCTCAAATTAACTATAAAGCACACAGAGGGTTTTGAGAGATCCCTGCACACTGGAGCTAGAGATACTTCAGCTGGGGCCAACCACAGAGCAAAAAATGGAGCACACTCTAACACATACATAAGTCTGGAGCTCGGCCTTCTTCACAGTTTGAGGAATTGCTTCGGGAAAAATGCAGCCGTTTGGCTATTTATAACTGGAGGAAGCATGTCATTTCATGCATGGAAGTACTGTTTTGCGTGGAAGTGATCATTCAAATCAATCAGGGCCCTGCATTTACAAAAACAAATGGATTTACCAAGCATTTCAGGCCACTGTATTTGTAAGAGGGGCTGTGGAGCGATGACTTATCTTATCAAGAACCGGCATCCGTTTTCTCTGCAAAACGGTCCAGATTTCAATTATAGATATCGACAGATTTAAGGCCGTGCATGGTTTTTTTCAAATTTTAAAATAAAAACAAAGGGAGAAGCATAAACTAAAGCAACAAAGTTGTTCAGGGGCTCTGGCTGGGATCTGTCAGCTGTTGAGAGGATAAACAGAAAAATCTGTTGTCTTTATATTAACTTCCTGAAACACTCCATTAAACAGCTCATTACATAGGCCTTTCTGAAGAGAGCCCACACAAAAGCACATAAACAGGATGGAGCAAAACTGCTTGGATAAGAGGAACAAATGGGAGTAACGTTCTACCCTCAAGTTACAGAGCTTTAAAAGATCTGTTGTTTGTTGCATGCTCTCTCTCGTTTTCTCTGATCGCTTTCCACAGAGTAATGCCTGACCCCTGGGAAACAATGAATAATAAGGTCACTTCTTCCAAGCAATCTAAGTTATGCAATTACCACATACAGCATCACTTGTTTATTATTGTAGATTTATTTTGATTTTTAACAGAGCAGTCTTTGTTTTACCTTACGATTTGTTTTCACGTGTTATCTCTGTGTTGTCATGGCACTGAGCTGGCGGGTGTACGTTTGGAACTGCTCCGAAAAATGTGTGACTGTAGTACTGGGCTTGTAAATGCTGGGTAAAAGCACCGAGCGACAAGTTCACTGTCTTGGCAAAACTGTTTAACAAGTTGACGTTCTGAAATGGGAGGGAGACTGGTTGGTATGAAATAAAAATGATTTTTGGCTCCATGTTTCAAAAGAAAGAAGATTGGGGAATGAGTTAAGAAACTGAAATACTGTACCTCTACACCAGTAATGCATTTCTGTACTATCACTCAGAATGAATAGGACATCAAACTGCAGTGCCAGTTCCTGCACAGCTGGAAAAACAGTATATACGTTTTATTTTTCAGTATATTATTTATTCTTTAGTGGTAAACTTGGGATTTGGATTGCTTAATAAAACATTAATGAATAAAGGGATGTTTAGATCATTCAGTCAAGTTAAGTGTTCTTTTACAGATCCTGGAAATAAGTCCTATTTGCTTTTGTAGGGAGAAAAAATGGAGCGTTTTTTAAAACTGCTGTCAAGGCTTGGAAGTAACAGGAAAGGGCCTTCTGCAAACAATAGACAAATATGGAAGAACCTGGAGTTCCAGCAGCCAAAAACTCCATCGGGCCCAGTGCATTAAATTGCTCAGAATTTATATTTAGAAACAGATTTGTTTTGCACTGGAATTTGTTAAGAAATTAAGAGTTTTTTTTTAAATGGCTTCTCTGGTTTTATTCGCCTGACATGACTGGCTATTCATAGCAGAAAGTGTGGCAGTGGGGCCCAGGATCTCGGCGTCCAATTCTGGACCAAAACCCAGTCTGGAGCCCGCACACTTCTGTTCCTTAAAAGGAGCCTGACCTGTTCAAGCATTAAGCCTCGGGAGTAGAAAAAAAAATGAAATAGCTTGTTTCTGCAATCCGTTATAGCCATTCAGAATTAAACTTTCAATCGGTCTTTAATCAAACATGCCAACTTGCTCATATTTCTTTGAAGCCAGATTCACATGTCTGAGGTTTCACCTTGATTGAGATCAGTCAGAAGAGTTACTCCTCTGTGAAAATGTCCAGCAAACAAACGGATAAGCTGATGACCGGACGTCAAACAAGAGGAAGCTCCTTCATCCACACTGAAAGCTTGGGCCTTGACTGAGTGGGGTCAGTCAAGCAGTGGTGTGGTCAGTGGTGTTGCAGAAATAAAACTATTAGCACAAAATAACAAAACAGCTCAGAGCAGCAGATCAAAGGATCTAAAGACAGCACTCCCCATCGGTGGCTGAATAATTTCATTCTAGACTGGAAGGGCACTTAGTATGAGTAGCACCATGGGGGGGGGCGTGTCCAGTGTGGAGGCAGAGATCTGGTAAAAGGGCAACGCCCTGCCTTTGTAGTTCCAGCTGTGCTGGCTTCTAGATGATGAGCCACAGCTGGGCGGGTCCTATAAAGGCACACTGGACACCCCCCAAGGGGACGAGCAGGGCCGCCCCGGAAGGGGAAGTTTACTCCGACAGTCCCCAAGGGGATTGCATCCACATAAGGTGTTCTTTTTCTGCTCGTTTTCTTTCCCTGTCCCGTCACGCACTTTCACCTGGGCAGGCACGCACACACTTCTTCACGCACCCAGTTCTTGTCTTGTTCTTGCCTTCCGCGCCCTGCTCACCAGATTGGACCCTGTGAAATAGGGTCAGCCCAGTCCGGTCACTGCTGTGCTAGCGGCTCTTTATTTCCCCAGGCTGGACCCCGTTAAGGGGGTAAGCCCAGCCTGGAGGTCACGAGGCACAGCGCTACACTTTCTTTTTGCTTTTTGTTTATTTTTCACCTCTTTTCGTGTTATTTTTGGTCCCTGCCAACCTCACACCGCTGCTTCAGTCCCCTCACCCGGGGGCGCTGACTTTTTAGCGGTGCTCGCCGCGGCGTCTCCCGCTACACACTGCCACAGTGAAAATAACCGGAGGTTTCCATATTGAAAGAAAAATCAGATGCATCAGTAGAATGCATCAGGAAAAGTGGACAGTTTCTGGGAGCGGTCTGACGCAGTGAAGAGGTCATTTCTTCACTGCGGAGTGACTCCCACACTACAAGCCTGTCAGTTAAGAATGTGTTACCTTGCGTTCTGCTATATATGCCGTCCGATATGCCGAAATGTGCCCTGAGGCCCGTGGCCGTCAGACCGCTGTCACAGAGGGACTGCAGCTCAAAACAGCTGTCCTGCCCTTACGAGAGAGACAGCGCCTGCAGGAGCAGCTCGAGGAAGCTGTCTTAACGAAGCAAGAGAGCACAGAAATGAATCCAGAAGAACAGCTCCCCACTTTGCTCCTGAAACGTCTTACAGCTCAGTTCCTTGTCCCTTAGTTTCTTGCAAGTGAAAAACAAACGTTTTCCATTGAGGGATGTGAATGTAAAAAGGCTTCTTCTAGTGACTGCTGTGGTCTGCTTGTGCAAAGGAGCAACAGACAGCACCATTCCACAGTTCTCCGGTTAAAAAAAGAGAAAATGAAAAAGCAATTGAACAAGGCAGAGGTGCGTTCTGCTGTGACTGACAGGAAAACGCACGATCAAAAAAAGGTGTTTTCAGTTTCTTTTTCTTACAGTTGCAGTTATGTGGAAGAGGAAACACTTTTTGAAACTCTTGGCTATTTCCCGAGACCGTTCCACCAAAACATTAGGGGTGAGGTCCTCAGATTCATTAGGAAGGATTACTTTTCGATTGGGGAAAAGCGTTTTTTTTTTTGCTCATTCGCCTCTCTCTCATTCACAGCATTTCCTGGCAGTCATCCAAAGCTGTTCTTGAATAAAAAAGCAGTTTGGCCATTTAAAGAGACTATATCCCAGGACACAACGACCCCAGGAAGTGCAGTCAGGAAAGTGTGTGTCATTACAATGGGGCTGTGCGGGAGGAGGAGAGGGAAAGGTTACCTACCTGAAAGGGTGGAACAGAGTATACACTCTGTAATCCCCCACGCCAGTCCTGCACCCCGGCAGCATGTCTCCTGGGACCTCAGGCCAGGGAGAGGGGAGCTACACTGAGGACCAAAAAGGAACAAATAAAACCATGTTCACTTTCTTTCAGGGCGGTGAGATTAGAATACAACACAGCACCCCGCTGTGTAGGAAACATGGCAGAATGTGTGCTGTGATCCACGAAGATGAGGAATTCAGCAGACAATGCTCCTCCAGAGTGTGATCTAAGGAGTTAAAGGCAACAACACTTCTCTTGGCCAGTGCGTTGCTCTAGCTTAGCTTGGAATGTCCCTCCCCACTGCAGCTCCTCACAGTAAGCTTGCCGAAGCCTTTCCTGATGGGATTTTAGTTTGAAGCCGTTGACTGGAAAAGGCAGAGGCAGATCTACACAGTAAAGACAAGAGTTCGATCCAGAAAAAGCACAAAAGGATAGTAAACAGGGAAGAAATGAGGTAACAGGAAAGAGTAAGACGATACAAACTAATCTTTTTAAGTCTTGGCAAAAGCATGACTGTGGTATTCCTGCCGGGCCGGCATCCAGCGATGCTGAGCTCCTCAGCTCGGCCAAGCCACTCTCGGAGTGATAATTAACAAGCTGGAAAGATCAAAATTAAATCCCTGTTTTGAAAAGGAAAATCCGCAGGGCCACGATAGAGAGCGAAGCGTGTGCTGTGAGGGTGCGGATGACTAGTGGCGCAATCAAGCGCCCTTTTTTTGACCCCACAATAAATTATGTGCACGTGGGGTGCTCACAGAATGACAGCTGTTTCGGAAGGGTCCTGTGTAAAGACAACTGATGAGCATGAGGGAAAAGCAGCCAGCGCTTTCTTAAAACTCCTCCTGAGGATGAAATTGATATCCTCTGTTGCCCTCACAGGTTGAGTGTACCAGCAGGGGGCTATCGGTTTCTCCTTTAACTTGTAATGTAGGCTCACGGCCACCAGAAACACAGGAGCAGCTGAGACAGTGGAGAAGAACCAGCAGCATCAGCCCCCGTTCACTTTGTAGAGACCCCGCCCCCACAGAGTTTGGACTCGGGAGAGTTCAGTACAATGCGGACGTTTCAAAGGGGACTTGACTGACCCTGGGGAAATCGGAGGGCAGTGGGAGACTGCACTGGACTGGACGCTCCTTACCTGACCGTTGCGCACCTCCCCGAAGCAGTACTTGAACCCCGAAGACTCGGTGTAGCTGGGGTCCCCGCGTACCGTCTGGGCTTGGACCCGCGGAGGGGGCGCCTCTGCTCTCTCGCCTGGAAGCAAGCTGTGTCTCCTGCCCGACAAGCCCCCTGTCCCCACGCCGGTATCAGCCTGCTGCTCCTCAGCCTCCTCCTGAACTCCCCTCACCCTCAGCACCTGGTGGATTTTGACGCTGGCTTCCGGAGGGTGTTGGACACGGACCTTCACCAGGGATGAACCTCCTTACAACGACAACAATTACCATCGGCGTGACCACCTTGAAGCCTGATTTTATAAGCCAGAGGAGACCACTGGGCTCTTCCAGAATCTCATCCAGCTCTTTGTTAAACTATGTACTTCAACTTGCTAGGTTTCATCCCGCAGTGGATCATTTATGATCCTTGATAATGACTGATAAGTGCAAGAACGTAACAGTTACAGCTGCTTCCCAGCTGGGTGAGAGTTTTGCTCCGTGTGCCTGAAATTTAGAGACTGAGATCGGCGGGGGTTTGCTGAAACAAGCTCGATGGAAAAGATCTTGCTAGCATTTGGTCCTCCGTCTGAAAGCAAGCCACACCAAACGTCCCGCTCTAAAAAATAAAATTAAAAGTCGACCGTAACCAGAAAACTGATGAAAAATGAGTAGGCCTAACGCTTTAAAACATTCATAACAGTGTTATTAAGAAAAGCAGTCTCTTTCTCTCGTTTCCAAATTGTGGCCAACGTTTTTGGCAGGTGGCTTTCCCTAAAGAGCAGCCAGCAGCTGCAGCGAATGGGACCACAACATCTGCATGGGGCTAAATCAATCTTGAAAGAAAAAAAAAATTCAATTGAACAAATAATTGTGGAACTGTGGCGGTCTTTTTCTGAGCCAGCGCTGTTCCTGTTAAGCGTGTGACCATGAGTTCATGTGTCCTCGATGGACTGCACCACATGAGCGTAAAGCAGTGAAGAGGGGTTTTGAGTGCTAGGATGTCATCTGGAAGAGGCACGACAGCTGAGCTCCTGGAAAGCCTGCTCTCGTCTCTCGCTGTCAGCGTTTGACATTTGTGGGGAATCTTAGCAGATGTCCAACGAGTGATTTCATGACACCACAAAAACTGGCCTTTGTGGCCAAGTGAAAAGTCTGTTTCATCCTGCAAACATCAGGGAACAAAGCCCTTTCCTTCACGACATCTTGTCTGGTTTCATTTTCCAGTCCAAAGATAAAACATTCACAATAACTCAGAACACAGTGTCAGGACAGACTGGATCTGGAGACCTTTCATCAAGACATTTCTCAGTCACTCAAAACTGTTCTCCTTTTTCATGTCCCCTCGTCTTGGCACTGAAGCCATATAACATGGTCCTGTGTGTCAGACGCTATAGTTTTAGACACGTGTTAGATATATATGTCCCAAAAACTTTTTCATATGTAGAAAAATTCCCAAACTAACATATACGGACACAGCTGGGTATTAACGGGGAAGTGATTAAAAAAATAAAAATAAAATGCACTTCTCTACACGAATACAAAACCTAACTATCCTGATATGTAGCTGAAGCTGATCATCTAGGATTCTTCAAGAAACAGATCAATACAAGAAACGAATTGAAATTTAAACAACTAAATAAGCAGGATGACTCAAATTAATCCCACTTGTCTGTAGCCTAAATCACATTCTATTATTCACAGGAACAAAGCTTTGTTGTTTTTGAAGCACCAGTGCTTGTGAAAAAGTCCTCATCTCGGGTCCTGTCTGTTCAAGAATTAACACGTAATAAGCTTTTCCCACTTATTTTTCTGGTATGAGCCCCACATCAGATATTGTGTGCCTCCCGTCTTTAAAAACCTCTACACTGCTAACTGAGTATGAGCTCAGGCCCTTTGGAACCCCTGTCCAGGTTGTTTCCCAAAATTTATGACCCTCTCATTCACTCCATTAATGACCTCCTTAAATATTTCACACCGTCTAGCCGGTTCGGTGTGACAGAGTAATAGTTCCCCCTTGTTTGGGCCGCTGCATGAAGGAACAATGGTTCCCTTTGTGCAAAGCCATGGGAAGTGGCTTTTTGAAATTACCTGCAAGCTTCACTGTTTGGATTAAAAACACACGCAAGACCTGCATGACCTTCAGGTTCTCTACAATAGTGATATTTGAGCCTTGAGGCACATCAGGTTGCCATGTAAAGTTTCTGCAACCCACAGTGAACTGGGAGTTCATGACTTCTCCATGGGCGGGATGCAGGACCACTACAGCGCTATCCCCAGTGATGCTGGTACCTCTTTTTATAGCTGCACGACCTGGAGAAATTGAGGTGAAGTGCAAAATACCATGTTCACAACTCAGACTCTGTTGAGAGCTGAGTATCCAGAGCCCTAACCTCTATTCACTGCTGTCCCAGACAGCAAGCATCTGTTTCAAGGGAGGGAAAAGATAACATTCATCACACAACCCCCAAAGGGAAGAATCTAACAGATTGTCTTCTATAGCACAATCATTGTCTAAGCACAACATGACATATTGCTGTAGCAAGAACCTTATTTATGATGAAATACCTAAAGCCACAGCTCATGTGTGCCCTAATGGGGCTAAAAGGAAGTGTACTGCAAATCAAATTCCATTCATGCGTCATTTCATTTTAAAAACCACACAGGATTTAGGGAATTTATAGTTCAGAAAATATCATTCTCTCGAGAGGGAAACACTTTTTAGGCAAAAGGCAAATCAACAGCTTAATGTTGGGTTAGCATATGATTTGTTTTCTGCCAAGTGTTGCACACATAATGAAAGTCATTTAGGGCTGCTCATTTTAATATGACAGGGCTAGGCATGTAGTAAGTCAGAAGCTGTAAAGGAAAATTCAGCTTGATGTCCTTCTCTAGCTACAAAAAAGAGTCAGATTACAATTTACTTAATATAATGTGCATTGCTGGTGACATTTAGAAGTTGGAAGTAAACATCATAAACTCTGGTGTTTATTCGATGACCAATAGCTTGACAAGCTGTTTAGATATTTTACTGCCATTAACATTTGGCTGTGCTTACACATTCCCTTCAGAGAACACTGGCGGTAGACTAAGTACTTGTATAATCGCAGTCATGGTCCATACCCTGTCTATATTTAAATAATCTGGGGACCTTTTTATTACCCTTTGTAAGGAGCCAGCATCTTAAAGAGCCTGTGTTTGAATTCTTATGACAGTAACTGAGGGCTCATCAGGCTAAACGAAGGAGTGATTTTAAGAACAACAATTATTTAGATTTTGCTTTAAAAAGTAAAAAGGACTTCTCTTCCACTGCATTGCTATTTTTTTTACAAGTACACAAAATGTATACAGACGTTTCCTTGACCATTCTTGTGTCTGAGAGGGGAGCGCAGACCAAATTCTCTGGGACAGTAAGCAATTGTTTATGCCAATACCCCCAAATCAAAAACAGCCTGTCACTTGAAACTCTGAAAGTCCAGACCCCCACATTTTTGGCACTTTGTTCAAGAAGTCTCTTATCTGCATACTAGAGGTAAAAAAGTTTTTCTACTCAACAGAGGTCCATTTTAAGCATAAAAGGACTATCTTTGTTTTTGATCATACAGATAAAGGTTTTGCTTGTGGTGCGTGGATCGAGGGGAGTCTTGAAGACAACAGGAAACACAGCAGCAGGCTACAAGCTTAAAGTGCTCATCTAAAGTTATAATTTCACATGTGTGTAAAGCTGCCCCCTTCTTTTTTCAGCTGCGTCCTTCTTGACAGAGACCGGGAGGTTGGTAGCTGCTCTCTTTTTCTGAAGGGGGCCAAACGTTTACTTTCAAAGGGGCATCAGCATTTAGTACAAGAGAGCAATCCACAAATGATCTACTACAAGGCAAACATATGGTTAATGATACCAGAAAAGATGCATCATATGAGCTGTAGAGAAGGAATATGGTAGCATTTAGCCTTTGTAAGAGGAAGGGACTAAATTTACCTGGAAAGCTGATAGTTTAATAAATATTTTACATAATCTCCTTCTCTGTAACATCTAGATACTTATTTGTTTTGCTTCTGCTGCATTAAAAAAAAATGCATTTTAGAGATACCTTAAAATTGAATGTGTGTCAGCCAGGTAGGGAAATTATTGAAAGATACAGATTTGTAGCACAAAGTGCCCAATCAATGGGTTTATGATCACTGCGCAACCCTTAAGTGAGTCCTGGCCACCAGTGTTTTTTCCTTAACTGTAAGGAATTTTTCCTCATACACTTTTCCTCATAATTTATTTAGCAGTAACCACAATAAGAAAAAGGTGGTAATTCAATACCAGAACATGCTGATAACTAAAAATATCTCCACGAACAGTGAAGATGCTCACCACTTTGCAGCGATTGGTGGTTTTGCAGGGGGAGAGTGTACTCTGACTCAGTCAGCCTCTGCTGATTGGACGAGAGGGCAGCGGCTGGGGGCAGCTTCCTAATTTCATTGGTGGAGGAGCGAACAGGGATGTGGCAGAACTTTCCCGTGAAGGTTGGGGGACAGAGGCAGCGGTCCTTTTGTATGCACACCCCTCCGTTCTGGCACAGCAGAGGGCAGAGAACTGCAAAAGATCACAAAAAGGGGATTAAATCACCTAATGAAAAAAATCCCCCAGGGCCCCAGATTCTTCTTTTCTGAAGTCATAGTAAAACGGGGAAACCTACAGTATCAAGGAGATAAATTTGAGAAAATAAAGCACTACATGTGCACCTTTTAAGGCCTGATGCCAAAGGTAAAACACATGGTTCTCATCTACACATTCACATTCACAATTTGGAGAGGACTAAGGCGGGTATAGTCTGGGGTGGGGGGTGGGAGGGGGGGCTGTAAAATCCATGTTGTCACTGAAGCAAAACCGAAAACACGAGGTTAAAAAGAGATCGTACTGACCTGACCTGTAAGAAAACACATGAAACAAGAAATCTGAATGAAAGAAGTGTGTGACACAGGAGGAAAGAGGTTTATTGCCAGATCTATTGCACAAGATAAGGGCTGAGCATTTTGGCATGGAGACTACCCCAGCAGTGCATCAGGGGACTTCATGGGACAGAGCGCGACAATGGAAGGAAGAAAATGGAGCATGGGACGAGACGGAATCTCGAAACGTTCGTCGCTCTCTGTTATTATGTTCTCAATGAAGAATTCACAGCTCATTTTTTTAAATATGATGTCATTCTTACTGAATGCCAGGGTTAAATATAACCTATCAGTTATCAGTGGGAAGAATAGGGTGCCTGGAAATCGGAGGTGCACACCAGCACACTAACCTCAGTTGTTAGCCTTTCGGCTGTAACAGAAGGTGTATTTCCAAGAAATTCTTTATTTCTTGGCATGATGCATTTGATCACATGCCGAGCAGAACACATCAACACAGATTACAATCCAGTTTTTCATTCCGGTTTGGTCTTAAGCAAGGCCTGAGAAATCTAACAGAACCACCAAACAGACAATTACTGTTTACTGATTCGGCTGACACATCTGTATAAAATCTGTCTACACATTCCCAGTCTTCCCAGCACCTCTCGCATCCCGACCGGTCGATCTGATCTGCGTACCCTCATCGGACAGGAAACTCAGGGAAAGTGCCTTTTGTCTGTCGAGACGTAAAAGAACAGAAACAGCCCCTACTGTCCGTTACAACTGGCACTGTGCATACAGTTACAAGTACGCACACGGTTCTGCTGTTGTAAATAGAATGAACAACTGGCAATAAGCATACGTTAAAATGTACAGTACAACAGACCACGTGACTGTTGAGATTGATTTTTTCCATTACTGAATCGAATTTTCCAGCCTCTCAAAATCAATCCCCCACCCCTTCACCCCCTTTCTCCCCTAACACACACACACACAAAATTAAAACTAATAATTGGAAAATCTGATCTCATTTACTTTCTTCAGCTCAATTTTTCAGAGTGGGCAGCCCGGGGGGGGGGCTGCAATTTATCTTCCTCTGTCTCACGGCAGGGGGGTCAGTAAAGGGAACTTGCTTTGCCAATACTGGACAGCAACGCGCATACTTTTTTGTTTTCTTTCCTAAAAGAAAGCAGGCAAAAAAAAAAAAGGCTAAATCTGTGTGTTTCTGTGTGTGGGTCACAAGCCAGTTTTCCGATGGGAATTCTGCGCAAGGGCTCTGCGGCTTCTCCGAATGCTACAACCCAGGGATTTTCCTAAGCTTTAACCCTTCAGTAAACTATACAGAGGAAATACAAAGAAAACAAGCAGTACAAAAACAAATAACCCTTACTGCTGCCTCAATAAACATCTACCTCCATGTGAGGCTTACTCTGGCTTCCCAAAAGATATCCCCTATGGTGAGAATCCTTGGATCTTGTATCTTTAATCCATACCTTGCACAGAGAATGGCAGAGGACAGGATGCAGTATACAGTAGATGGCTCACTGTGTAAATGGAGCCTTATCATGACTTAATTTCAATTTCTTCAAACTGCAGCAATGAAAGGATCCAAATTAAAGCACAGACAAGGAGGACCACAAACAAGAAGATACAGTTAAAGAAAAGGTGGACAATATTAGACAACGATGAATTTCTACTTTACATTTTATAGACCTTCATGTATATATCAACTTGTATGAATCTGTGTATCCGAATATAGTATAGAAATACACAGACAAATACGGGTTTTCATCTAGCAGTACAGTGCACTTCCCTGGAAATACTTCCATAGCATCTGAACCTTTGCACCGTCACTTGTTTGCAAACAGGATCAAAAACCAGGTCTTTACAGGACAGGAGTGCACATACTGTATACGTGCACAATGAATACAAATGTACAATTCTACAGAAATTTCATTAGAAATCCACGGAGAAAGACGAGGAACATCAGCTATGGATCATACTAGTAGTGGTTGAATCAATTTTTTTTTCTTTCATCAATTCTTCACTCGACCACAATACCCAGGTTTTTCAAAATCCAAATATGGAAAAATGCCCATAAAAACCTCCAGGCATGGCTCTACTAGGAAAGGCGCTTGTTCAAAGTACTTGTTGACTTAGGCTCAGATGTTTGGACCTTAATCATACCAATTGGCAGCTATGAGCAGGATTTCCCACTTGTGACACGATTGGCAGAGCTCCCCTGGTCCAGAGTGGGCTTCAGTTGAACAGTGTTGTCTTGTTTTTCAGCACATAAATGACTCCTGTGACCTGCAGAGCACCTGTGAGCTTGTATTGACCTCAGCACGAGATGTGCTCCTCCTCCAGTTGGAAGAGTTGCGACTTTGGCGCATAGGTGTGTCAGCGGTGCACACGTTTGACTACAAATCGGTCAGGATTGTAATCTTTCAGGAACCAGGACTGGGCATCACCAACATTCAATCTCCTAAACCAAAGTGAAAATGCAGAAATACTAAACCAGAGAGCCAGACAATAAGCTTAGTGCACAAATCTGCTTTTTACCTCTTTATGTTTAAGATAAGACAAAAATCCCAGTGAAAAAGCTAAACTCTCTGTAATTTAGCCTGAAGGTAGACATAACTGAATGGCTTAATCCCGGATTTGATTGACTGTCTCAGCCACGTGATTCAGTTTAGGAAATCGTTGTCCAACACTGTCAGGAACAAGCCTTATAAAATGCAGGGAATTGAAGGAAATCACAGTACAAGCACAATAAAGAACAGGCTTTGAGCTGCAGGAGATTTGCAGGTTATTTTATCCTCACAAAGGAAAAGCAATTGAGAAGGCGAGATGGCCAGGGGCTCATTTGTCTGCCCAGAGCATAATGTGTTTGTGGAACAAATTAAGGATGCGTGTCTCAAAAGTGCAACACGGGAATTATTTACAAGACCGTGGAGGTTAGGATATGACTTCCAATTCTATGAGGAGCCTTTACAATTGCCCTCATTAAACATCTTAACCTTTTCTCGAGCTCATCTGTCTTTGTGGACTGGAGCTGAAAGTCGTCCAAGATCTACATGGATCAATCATTTTTAGTGGCTCTGCCCTTCCTCTGGGAGAGCTTGGATGGGTTTTCTGTTGAAGGGGCTTTTCAGGACCAATGTTTTGGCTTCCTGTCGATCCAGAAATGCCAGGGAAACTCCATTTCCAAACCTTATCCGTGCCAGGGAAGTCTGATTATTTTTGTCTGAAAGACCTTCATTGATCTATAGCAGACTAAGGTACTTAATCTACCTAGCCTCTTCGAGAAGAATTATTCCAATTTGAGGAAGGGGCAGAAAGCTGCTTTAGACCTGGACACATTTAGATCTGTCTGGTTAAGCTAATAATTAAATAATTATTAGCATCAAGCAGGCATTACACTGTTAGTGCAGTTGTTTCTCTTTCAAAGAAGGAAGGTCCACAGTGCATGGCAGGCTAACCCGCCAAGTAATACAGCTAAGTAATCAGGATACAGACCTGCATTAACACCTGGTAAGAGGTTCAAGCCCATAGTTACTGTTTCACACACCACCCTGCTACAGTGAACTACTAGAGCCAGGATTCAAAGTGTTAGTGCTTGAACTGAAACTTAAGATAAAGACCCCAAAGTAAAGTTTTCTGAATGGATGCATTCTTAATCCTTAAAAGTTTTAGTCCTTTTTGGGGAGGGAGGAGGCAAAAAAAGCAATGTCACATGCACCTGGGAGGCTCGAATGCTGCACGACCTCCTTCGATCCTCCACAGGTGGGCACAGCTATAGGAGCCAGGACGTCCTTTCGTCACCTTGCGTTACTTGTACTGCACAGTTACAAAGATCCCCCAACCTCCGGAATCATCCTCCGTCTCCCACTCCCATACAAACTCCTGTCTGCCATCAGAGGTTCGGTTTACAGCACTGTAAACCTCACGCTGACTGCTCTTGATAAAGGCAGGTGCCAATAAAGTGTGCACTGGGCTGATATTAACAGAGATCAAGGATTTACTAGCCTCCTAACCAAGATCTTGAATGTGCATCATGTTATAATCCTACTGGGGTCTCAAAAACAAAGCACAGCCTATAGTTGAATTTACTATGAAATACAAGGGCCTATATAAAAAAGAGATCCAAACATATGTTTTCTTTCCTTTAATCTCCTTGAAATGAACTCTGCCTATCTAGGCTTTAGGCTTCAGTTATATGCAATCCCTGGTCTTGCATGTACATTCTGCTCAGGAAAGCAGACAACCAAGCACAAAACACTGAGAAAGTAAATCATGCAAACCCATTTTCGAACCCTGAGCATCAGGAGAAGGCAAAGACAGAGAGTGGTGATTACACTTGGGGAGTGTAATTTCACACATTCTCTGGGCATGTGTCGAGAGGCTTGGCTGAAAACAGTTGTGCTTCAGAAAAAAAAATCGCTGAAAATGAAAGACACATGCACTTAGCTTCCTATCCACATGTAATCAGTCATTTTGGCAAAGGCTTGAACAGCTTGATGAAATTAAATAAAAAAGTGTGTTTTTTAACCCTTCTAAACCTGCCACACTCTCAAACACAACTGCTGAAACATGGACTGTTTTACTGCGCATGTGCCCTGCGAGAGGTAGTGCAATCTCATTAAACATTCACCACCATAAATCACATTAAAACAGGCTGAAAATTACTACCGCTTATGCTAAATGACAGTGACGTGTGCTGCTAATTGAGAAGAAAACGAAGTGCAAATTGACCAATTATAAGTCATTACTGTTGCACAGTAACATTCCAACTGTATGCCTAAATGTTGCTCTGGCTCTGAGCCTCCTTTTCTGGAAACGTGACTCCCAGCTATATTTAGCAAGCGAAGATCAAGTGTTAAAGAAGGCACTTGCAGTAACAAGTGAGTGCAGACCGATGTAAAAAATGGGCAAAGAGGAGGGGAAAGAGGCTTTGAACAGAAACAGAGAAGCTACTGTTTTAGCACGAGGAATTTCACAGGCATACAGTGTGTCAAAAAGAGCACAGGAATATAGTTGCCAACGATTAAAAGCATGTTGTGCAAATTGGTGTTTGTACGGTGTGATGATCTTTAAAAATAATACAGAGAAAACAACTTCTCATTGAGAGCTACTACTGTGATTCCTATCTTGCACTAAATTCAAACGCATCTTTCTTGCCCCAGCAAACTGATGAGTTGTCTCGGCAAAGCGCACAGCCGGACAATCTCAAGTTAAACCGTTCGTAACTTTGAACCCGCCAACATGACACCTTCAGAAAACGCAAATACAAACAGTACGCCAACACATTGCTCAATTGTTTCGTCTTTGTTGTTCTACCCCCAAACTTGGGTGATAAAAAAGACATTTGTTCCAAGATTAATCTCTTCTGAGTTTCTGCACTATATTTAATTCTGGCACTACAGAACTCATTTTCACATGTTCTCAAGGTCAATCTGACTACTGAGAGCCCAACAAGCAAATTTAGTCACTGGCATGTCCACAATGAAGTTGTAAGGCGATCTTTTGTGTTTTAGACCGCCAGATAAAAGCCACTAATCCATTTTTAATCCAAGCGGAGAAACGGGTATTAAGAATGGATAACCGCAAGGTCAAATTCTTTGGGTGATTTTGATTTTGCCCGCGAGTGTGTTACTAATCAAGTTACAGGCGCTGTCCATTCCTGTTGGAGCTGCGCTTCCTTGAAATGCCACTGGCACATCCTTTTCCCAGGCACAGGAAAATGAGACAAGACATATTATGAGGCCCCTGACATCTTAACTCCTCTCTACTTTGGGTAGATGTGCCATGATTAACACTTTCAAGAAAATAACATGACAGGATTAACGACAATGGGGAAAGCTTGGCAAACGTCATTACAGTACGGCGCAGTGAAAAAGTCCAAATGAGTAAGGACAAAGCAGATGAAAAGAAGGTATTTTAAAAACATGCCACAGGCTTCTTAGAGACTGAATTCCTGAATTAACAGTTAGTTCCCTCCTTTACAGTTCAATGGTCCTCCTTTAAAGGAGCCTACTTTATCCACAACCAGCATTTGAAATCTAAACAATAATTCTAGGAATACAACCACAGGGCAGGTAGACAAATAAACTTTAGATGTTTGGGTCACAGCATCCTCAAAGTAACACGTGTGAGTTTCATGTAGGGTCTTAAACAAAACGGCGCGAGGCAGCATGTGCTTTTTAGCAAATAGTTCTCAGAAGGAGTAAAAATGTCCTGGTTTACTGTTTAACACATACTGTAGCTGGTTTGCTCATTCCTACTGTGATTCAGGATCCAGTCTCTGCCTGAAGCATCTCACAGCCCTCTTCCCTGCTGGACTGAGCAGTCTTGTGCAGAAACAGACCGATGGTTCTGAACTGACACCTTCCTGCCGGCAGCCACTTGAAAAATTCAGTCTCTGAAGCAGATAAAGGTTTGCAACGAGACGTCTATTGTTGAAACAAGCACAACTGCACATCCTTCTGCTGCCTATAATTCAAAAGCCATATGCCCTGTACTCTTAAAAAAAAAAAGAGACACCCGCTACTTTGAAAAGACAGCTTCTTAATGATCTCTGGATAATGGGGAGAAACACGAAACAGGAGTTTTGAAACAAAAGTCTGCCAGCCTTGTGGTTTTCCACCTCTTGCCCATAAGCCTTTACCGAGAGCCAACATAACTTCCAGGAAAAACTAAAAGCCCAGCTGGAACGCCTTGTGCAGGACCGCGGACTACGACTCCTGGAAGAGGGCAGGGGGGGGAATTTGCTCACATCTTTTCAGATGCGATTCCCCCGTGCGGCTTAACTCGAGGCAGCTGGGAGAAAGCGCTACAGAAATCGCCCGAACACGCAGGTTAGAACTGATGCGAGACAGCGGAGATTCTGGAATTTGTGGATTTTGATGCTGCACAAAGAAAGCGAGAGAGAGAGGCGGGAAAAAAGGTGATAGAACTCACAGACTCGGAAGCCCGATCCTGGTTCTGGCCGGCCGTGGTTGGTGCTGTACAGGGTGGTGATGTTACCCCGTTCGCAGAAATTGGTGCAGTGGCCCTGGGTGCAGCGGACTTTGCAGATGGTGGGGGTGAAGAGGACCTTTATCCTCTCGCCTCCTGCGCTCTGGGCGTCCGCTGGGTGGGGAAACACAACCGAGAAGTAAAGGAGAGGCAGCAGCCCGAGCAGGACCATGTCTGTGCGTTAGAGTTTCATCCCCTGAGGAGAGAGGAGAGAGGAACGCAGGAGTGGAAGGAGGGAGGAAAAAAAAAAGGAAAAGGCAAGCCCAGAAGGCGATGCTACTCTCGGCTCCGCTCTCTTAACTCTTTTACGTTCTCACCCTGAAACACTCTGCTTGGCCAAAAAAAACCTGATGCTCCCCCCCCTTTTCCCAAAGTTCATTACCCCCCCCCTTAAAAAAAAAAAGGAGAGGCAAACAAAAAAAGGAAAAAGGTTCACAATCCTGCTTGGAAACGAATGGCTGTCCACTTAATTGGAAGCAGTGTAAGAAGCGTGCTCTGGGCTGGTCTCCAAACACAATGTTTATAAGGGATCCAATCCATCACACAGCGCAGTTAACTCTTGACTGCAGCCCGCCTGCAACACTACACTACGGAGTCTCTCCACGGTGCTGCAGCACAGTTTGGTTTTTCTTTTACATCAGCCAGAACTTGTAACAGTGGAGCTGTGAAATGCACGGAGGTATCAGTGAGGACCAAAGACTAGAATCAGGCTTCCAAACTCAGGGGCTTTGAGCATATAAGCAGACACCCAGGGACAAAATAGCTCCACTCTGATAAGCCACTTAAGCTTGCAGTTTCTTCCCTCCTGTACAAGAACAGACACAAAATTGAAATTCTCTTACAAATCGTCTGTTCTCAGGACCCTCCTGGCACACCTTATACAGTACCAGAAGGGTGTCATCCAAATACGAATACAAAGAAAGAACAAAGATAAATCTCACAGAAACTTTCTTGAACATAGCAAATAACTATATCATTTTTGTTTGTTTTTTTTCAATTTGTGGTTTGAATCCAGGTTTACAGAAAGGATTTTGCATTTTCCACCACGGAAGAAAAGTCCAAAACAAACAGGAAACCGCTTCATGTGAAGTTGTCGTATCTGCACAGGGGGGAAGCCTCCTGTAAGAACTGTCTGCTGAAAGCAACCATTTTTGATGTAAGAAGCACAATCGCCGTCATACGTGGCTGATCAAGCTCTCTGACCGGCTCAAACGCCAGAGCAAGGTCCCCTTGTGTGGAGGCCGGTGGGTCCAGAGCTGCAGGAGGTGTACGGAGATATTCTTCCATGCGGCCTGGGCTTAGAGAGGTTATAACACAGCTGACCTGCACCTGCAGTCCTTCAGTTATCAGAACTTCATTCTGGGCAAAGGCATAAAAGGCACGCAGAGCCGATACTGCCCTCAATGGTTTCCTGCAACCATTCAGAAACCTGTCTAAGTCTCACCTCCTGCAGGTCTTGCACTCTGATCATCTTTGCAGCTCACTGTGCCTCGCCAGCCTACTTTATCCTAGCACTGTTCTTGAGATGCAATGTTCTGCCAGCCACAGTCTGAGAGACAATGGCATCACATGGCCTCTCTCACATGCAGAACCTCATGTCCCAGTCCCCAAAGCCTGGAGCACTCCCAACCCCAAAGGGCAAGCTGACACCCAACGTTCAATCATCCCTGGCATTTTAATAACTCCTTTCATCCCAGAGGATCCTAAGGCACTTTGCATCTAGGAAGGGACCTCCTTCATCCACTGTTGAAGTGCAGCAAGCTCCTGGTAGGCTCGGAGTACTGCACCCATGGAATCAAGAGGGAACTTTAGGGAGGCCATGCTGAGAATGAAATTTAACCGGGACAGGGGAGTTAACACCCCTTATCCTTAATAACACGTCATCCAAATGACCAACACCTTACAGCATAGGTCCACACCGTATACCATAGGTTGGGACATTATGGTCCAAAGGGAAGCAAACCAGCTGTCCGTCCACCATTGCCAATCCTAGCAGAAATCCGGTTTTACAGTACTGAGCAGGACCAGCCTTGCCTGATGAGATTAGGCTACCTAATTGCCAAGCTGCTGTAAGCATGCACCTGTCAGTTTAGAGGCACAGCACACTTTACAAAAGAATGAATCACTCCTTCTGCTATTACCTTTATTTCAGTAGATGCACATCTTGTGGTTACACTGATCTGATTGATTGAACTGTACATCAAGACTTCAAGAAAGCAGACAAAAACACTTTTACAGTGATCATTAAAGGGCTCTTTAGAAAAAGGGATTTTTTTTAAAAAAATGACGTGCCTCTCAGCATCAATATGCTTTTTCAACAGTGAGTAGGGCACACTTTGTGAGCAGTTAAGGGTAAAATGCCCATTCGGCTCAACTGTCTGCATTCTTGCATTCGAAAAAAACGCACCTCTCACCTTTTGAAGGGTGAGTCATGTGCATTTAAAATTCCATTTTTTTTCCAGGCTCTCCCTTATGGGGTTCCAGAGAAAAGAACACTGTCGCCATCTTTCCAAACCTCAGCCTGCGAGTGACGTCAGGCAGGCCCGGGGCTCTTGCACATGTCTGCCAGATATGCTTATTGTTTTAATTACCAACAGGGGGCTATGCTCCATCGATAGCCAGACACCACTCTCCTCAAACAATGGCACGATACATCTAACAAAAACACCATGAATCTCTGAGCTCTAGTAAACACAAGATACACAGGGCCACTTTTTGGCATATTTACTTGTTTGCCTTGGGAAACTGTCTGACCATAAAGCTTGTAACCCCATTAAAATTAAACCTAGGTCATTTTCTGGTGGCCCTGGCAACAGGCCTAGGAAAGAGGTCAAAAAAAGATTTTAACCCGAAAAGCCAGAGCAGAAAGTCCAATTCACGAGCTGCACCCACGCACTCAGTTGCAAACGTCTCATCTAAAGGACATTGCCTTTTTTACAGTATAGCGTCCCCATCACTATACTGGGACATCAGGACCCTACTGATCCCACTAATACCTCTTCCAGCAGCGACCTTAGCTTTCCCAGGAGATCTACTGGCCAGCTCACAGCTTCAGTGGGTTGCCAGTTGTGACCTGCGAGGTGATTCAGCTGCTGACTACATTACACTACAAGTATCTCCACAGTTCCCACTGACTCCTACAGGGAAGCACTGTGTACTGCAACACATTCTCATTTGTACAGTGCCTATTGTGCTCTTACACCAGGATAAGTCAGCTCGCAGAGTAAATGTGAGAATTACCAGCCTAATGCACTTTGATATAAACACAAGTGTGGGGGAAACTTATTTTTTAGCCCCGAGCCTTTGAACAACCACAAACTTTTGTCTCCGTGTCTTCACCATGATAGAAAGTTGGATGGTCTCTCAGTCACTGCTCCTCGCACCTCACTGTTCCACCTCTGGAGAGCTTCGTTCATCATGGTTAAACAGATGATGCTGTATAACCATACACATTCAAGTCATGTCAGGAGAGCAGTCATGAAGCGTTCATTGTGGACTATGATAGAGTAGCAAGTAGTGAGACACACTCTGCACTTCTGCACACAGAACTGGGCTGGAAATGATGGGTCACTCGCCTTCAGTGTCATTCTGCAACATCAGTTTGTGAGTCTGCCAGTTTACAGAATGGATCTCGCAACCTTTAACCAT